GCAGGGAGCCTCCTTCACTGAGCACGTTGTAGCCCCATTTTAGGTATTCCAATCAGTTATAGGCAGAAGACGGACTTACAAGCTTTCTTTCACTTACTCTTAAAATTGAGGTATACTTTATATACATCCTTACATACAGTAAACAGCAAATTTTAAGTGTACATTTTAACCCATTTTTAGATATATTCACACCCAGGGAATCATTATGCAGACAGATCAAGATCTAGAACATTTCTAGCATGCCAGTAGGCTCACTTATTTCCCCTCTTAGTTGGTACCCCTCCAAAGTAACTCCTATTGTATTCTCTATTAAGACTATAGATAACTTTTGCCTATTTAAAAATTTCCTGGAAGAGAAATTTTAGAGTGTGTAGCCTTTTTTTTTTTTAATGTTTTATTGTGACTTATGTGATAGTTTACATGGGAGAACATTAGTTTTACATTCATCCTATCGTATATTGTTGCATTGCCAGGGTTGCAATCCCCTCCGCGCATCATCAACTAACCAAAGGGTATATTCCCTGTAAACCTGCCCCCCCGGTTGTCAGCACACAGCCCCTCTCCCTCTCTTGGTCTAAGATCCCCAGCTGCTCCATCTCTCCATGTCATTGTCTCTGCCTCTATCTCTGGTGTACTGCTTCTCTGGGTAGGGTCCTGGACTCTGCTCTTTTCCCTTGATGGTCCCAGGGACCTCTGCGCCTGGACTGCAAAGTCAACCACTCTCCTCCTTTTGCTACACAATGTCCACCTTTACATTTCCAACCCTCACGGTCAGTCCAGATACAACCACTAATTCTTACCAAAACTTTTCTTCCAGACTTTGTGAAAAAGGCAAATATTGTGTGGAAGATATTTTCTTGTTCTTGAGGAATAATGCATGGGGTTGGGTTTTTCTGGAAAGAGCAGTTTCCCTTCTCTTGGCCCACCTGGAAATGAAAAGAGGTCTGTTAGAATGGTCAGTCTAAGAATGGACCATGAGCCTCGGGTCCCTTGTTGTAGAGGTGGTAACCAAATCAAACCAAACCCATTGCTGTTGAGTTGGTCTGACTCAGAGCGACTCTACAGGATGGAGCAGAACTACCCCAGAGGGTTTCCAAGGCTGTCAGTCTGTACAAAGACAAACTGCTTCATCTGTTTCCTATGGTGTGGCTAGTGGGTTTGAACTGCTGATCTTTTGGTTAGCAGTTGAACACTTTTAACCACTGTACCATTAGGGCTCTGTGAGATGGTAGGGTTTAAATTACACTTTTTTCCTTTGTCCATTCTCCAGTGGACAATAATGACTGAAGAACTAGAAGGCAGAAGTGGAGGAGCAACAGAACCAAGTAACAGAGAGTGTGAATCCTAGTCCCTAAATAACTGAGGTAAGATTGTACACAAGATACAAATGAGATGTGATTAAGAATTGGTAAGCATTAAGAACAGAATAAACCTTATGCTTCATGGTGTTTGAAGCACATTGACAAATATCCTTACAGAAGCTCTCTCAGATAGACATTGCTGCTCCTTGTCATCATATCATACGGGACAAAGCTGAAGACTGAACAGGACTTTAGGTTGAGTCACAAAATGAACAAATTAATAATTTATAATTTAGGATTATGTTGCCAATTCTACTTGTATCCAGAATCATCTGTTACAAAAATCTAAACTCTACTGCTTTGGGCAATCTTGAGTAAAATAGTGTGATTGAGTTTATTCAAGAAATGTCTCAACTTCTTCTTCAGGATAGGGAGCAATGTTCAGTTAGTATTTTACATAAAGAAAACATCTAACTTCAGCAACAATGCTGATCTTTTAATACCGGATTGTAAAACAAGACCATTCCACAAACCTGCTAAAAAAATTTCTGTTTTATTTTGGTTTGAACACTTTCCAGGATTTAGTAATAGGCCTGCATATAAACTTTATTTAAAAAGTTTGTAAATAAAACTTAGTTCCCAGAATTAGCTATTAGAAAAGAGTGTGTTGCCTAATATTGTTCTCTAATATACTAATAATTTGAGACTTTTTCAGTTACCCTATTTAAACCACAAAGTTTGGGGAAGGCACGTCAGCCTGAAATGATCTTAACCAATATTGTTTGCATGTTGTTTGATGGAAAGGAAGCATTGAGATTTAATGATTTGCTGGTAATTCCTGAACTGCAACTGTTATTAAGTTGTGATAAATATTTGAAGTCCATTAGCTCATGAATTCATTTTAGAAAGCAACCTGTAGTGACTGATTCAATAGCGATTATGAATATTCATATGAAATTCATCTGAAAAGACAAATGAAAAAACCAACTGCTGCAATGATATGCAAATGTCCCTTGACCCAAAATGTCAGCACCAAACAACATCAAACATGGATTGACAAAGTTCTCCATGTCAACTAAACTTGATGACTGACGACATGCTCTGGCAAGCTGTTGGCTAAAAAATGGCTTAGTAATGGTAAGCACTGATCTCAAAGGGTACACAATTAAATAAAATGATTTTGTGAAATGGAGAGTGGAAAGGGTAACATTTTAAAACAAATGTGCTATTCTTGTATGACCGAAAATATGCAAATATATGATGACATTAAATATTATAAGTAGACCGTTGATTACATCATTCTTTTTCTTAACTGAGATAAAACTTATGTTCACTTATGTTCACTGAAGTGCACGGATCTTAAGGGTACAGTTTGACGAGCTCTGACAAATGAAATCATCCACGTAACTACCACCCCAATGAAGGTACAGAACGCATGTCCATCATGCTAGAAACTGCTTTCCAGCCCCTGTCCAGTTAATCCCCCATACCCACTACAAAGACATAAAAACAAACAAAACCAAAATTGCTAAAGTCACCTTGTTAGGGAAGTGGAGGGTGTGTTATTTGAGTGCTACCCCATATTTAGGTACCTAACAACAACCACAACCACAACAATGGTACATCATGGAGTCTTGGTGAGGCACTGTGGGTTAATACATTGGTTTATGAGGTTGGTTTGAACTGCAAGGTCAGTGGTTCAAGCTTGCCAGTCGTTCCTTGGAAACTCCATACAGGTTTGCTATGAGTTGGAACTGACTTGATGGCACAAAACAACAACAACGATACATCACAAGGAACCCTGGTGGCTCAATGGTAAAGTGCTCAGCTACTAACTGAAAGGTCAGTGGTTTGAACCCACCAGACGTCCCACATAAGAAAAGACCTGGTGAAGATTTTGTTGCTGTTGCTAAGTGCTACAGGGTCAGCATAAATCGGAATCAGTTTGAAAGCATGTAACAACAACACGATACATCCTGAATGAAAAACACTGAGGCTCACTGGGCATTTGAGAATTTGAACAGTGGGCTCATACTCTTCGTTCTCATTATTTTGCACTCTGATGCACGTGGAGTTTTACTTTCCTTGTTTGTCTTGTGGAGTGGACATTTGCTGAGAAACTCTGGGGAAAACAGGTCCTTCTGCAGCCCTGTGGTATGTACATTCCTCTGTTAAGATTACAAGGGTTGGCCACCCAAACACATTTGAGAAAAACAAAACTTTCAAGTCTTGCAGCACATATCCATCCCTAATTATCATCAGGACTGGGGGCAGATTTCCTCCTTGCTCTACCAATTGACACTTGGGTCTCTCAGCAGCGGGAGGAGTCATGGGAGTAGAGCCAGTTTCCTAATGCAATTCAGGTGTGAGGAGGCGCGGGCTGTCGTCCTGACCACCAGAGGTCAGCACAGAGGGCAGGGAGTTGTGCCTGGTAGGTGAAGGGGTGAGAAACTACAGAAGCCTCACTGTCACGCCCGCTGGCCGAGCAGAGACATGGCCCAGAATACCGTCCTCCCCACTCCCTAGTTTTTAAGGCAGCCTGTTAACAGGGTAATTACCCCGGTGATGATGATGAGGATGGGATGTGATACTATGTGAAACTTGAGCCACCCCCAGTGGCATTTGGAGAAGGGAAGTGGAGACTGAGTCTGTGGTGAATGAGAAAACTTGGGCTGTTGTACTCAGAACTGTGGTTACATGGGAATCACTTCAGTCAGGAAAATGACATTTTTCTGGAAGGTTCAGGGTGGTCCTTTTTCAAAGGGAGAATGAGGGTTGCTTTGCACTGCATGAGCCTGATTCAGACCAGCTAATCCTGCGGCAGACTCTCCCTCAGCTCAAATTCAGCAACTCAATCCCTGGCCAGGATCATCAAAGTGAGGACTTTTTTATGCCTAGTGGAGAGATACATATGTGCTAGCCGCAATAATCACACGTAACATTAACATTCCTTACTAAGTGCCAGGTAGAGCCCCTAGCATGCTTAGCTACTAACAGAAAAATTAGTGGCTCATATCCACCTAGTGGTGCTTTGGTGTTGTTGTTGTTAGGTGCATAGAGTCAGTACTGATTCATAGTGGCCCTAGGCACAACAGAATGAAACACTGGTAAGTACGATGCCAACTTCACAATCGTTGCTATGCTTGAGCCCACTGCTGCTGCCACTGTGCCAATCCATCTTGTTGGGGGTCTTCCTCTTTGCCTCCAATCCACTTTACCAAACATGATATCCTTCTCCAGGGTCTAGTCCCTCCTGATAATATGTCCAAAGTCTGTGAGATGAAGTCTGACCATCCTGGCTTCCAAGGAGCATTCTGGCTGTACTTCTTCCAACACAGATTGGTTTGTTCTTTTGGCATTCCATGGTACTTTTAATATTCTTCTCAACACCGTAACTCAAATGCACTAATTCTTCTAGGGTTTTCATTATTCACTTTCCAACTTTCACTTGCATATACGGTTACTGAAAATATTATGGCTTGAGTCATGTGCACCTTAGTCCTCAAACTGACATCTTTGCTCTCGAACACTTTTAAAGAGGTCTTGTTTAGATTTCTTGCCTGCTGCTTCCATGAGTGTTGATGGTTGATCCTAGAAAAATGAACTTTTTGACAACTTCAATCTTTTCTCCATTTGTATGGATGTTGTTTATTGGTCCAGTAGTGAGGATTTTTGTCTTCTTCACTGTGAGATGCAACCCATACCAAAGGCTGTAGTATTTGATCTTCATCAGTATTTTAAGTCCTCTTCATGTTCACCAAGAAAGGTTGTATCATCTGCATATCGTAAATTGTTAATCAGTCTTTCTCTAATTCTGCTGCCACGTTCTTCTTCATATAATCCATCTTCTTGGATTATGTGCTCAGCATACAGATTAAATAAGTATGGAGAAAGAATATAATCCTGGTGCATACTGTCCCTAATTTTAAATCATTCGGTGTTATCTTGTTCTGTTCGAACAGTTGCCTCTTGGTCTATGTACAGGTTCCTCATGAGGACAATTAACTGTTCTGGACTCTGCACTCTCCGCAATGTTGTCCATAGCTTGTCATGATCCATACAATTGAAAGACTTTGTATAGTTAATACATTGCAGGCAAACATCCTTTTGGTATTATCTGCTCTCAGCCAAGATCAATCTGATGTCAGCAATGATATCCCTTGTTTCCATGTCTTCGTCTGAATTCAGATTGAACCTCTGGCAGTTCTTTGTCAATGTATGTATGGTTGCTGTCATTTTTGTAAAACTTTACTTGCATGCGATATTAATGATACTGTCTGATAATTTCTGCATTCCGTTAGTTCACCTCTCCTTGGAATGGGCACAAATATGGATCTTTTCCAATCAGTTGAGCAGGTCTTCCAAATTACTTGGCATAGATGAGTAAGGGCCTCCAGTGCTTTGTCAGTTTGTTGATAGATTTCAACTTGCATTCCATCAATTTCTGGAGACTTGTTCTTTGTCATCGCCTGCAATGTACCTTGGATTTCCTGCTTTCAGTATCACCGGATCTTGATCATATGCTATATCTTGAAATGCTTGGACATTGACCATTTCTTTTTAGTACAGTGACTGTATTCCATCTTCTTTTTGCTGTTTTCAGCATCATTCAATATTTTCTCCAT